CAGCGAGGCGACGGGCGGGAGCGCAGAGGTGGCGCCCGCGGAGCCGAGTGCGGGCTCCTTGCCGCGTGGGTCCCAAGAGTGAGTGAGCGAGGGCGGGCGGGTCGGCTGGTGGAGAAGGGTCCGGCCCCTAGGGGCTCCCCAGCGCCACGCAGGTGGTCCGGGAGCGTCTGTTAGGTTGGTGGGTGGGGAGCCTGCGACCAGGGTCGGGGCTGGGAGTGAGCTGCGAAGATCTCGGGCTGAGCGCCCTGGACAGCCCGCGGGAGGGGGCGGCATCCGTGGCTGAGTCGGCTCTTTCCAGCCACGTTTCTGTTGAACCTTCCCCTACGGGCACCCCTCCCCCTATTTGACAGACGAGAAAATTGAGGCTCCAAGAGGCCAAGTGATTCTCAAGGTCACGGAGAGAAGAAGCAACTGAGCCAGGTGGGGGTGGCTCTGGATGGCTCCTAGGAGAAGTCTGCCAGAGAACTCCATAGAGGCGCTCCCGCCCCACCCCCAGCTTTCAGCCCGGGGCAGTATGTAGGGGCGGGGACCTTCCAGAGGGACCGGGCTCCGAGGGCTCCGTGGGCTCCGAGGGTGTTGGCGCTGGGGCCGCAGAGCTGCCCCTGCACCATCGATGAAGTTGTCTGTGTGGCGGGGGCTGCGGAATGGGCGTGCGCGCCCACGGGGTGTGTGCATGTGTGGGAGTGTGTGCATGCGTGTAGGTGCACTGTCTTGCGTGTGTGCACACGTGTTCGGATGTCCGCGAGCTGTGGCAGGAACTCACGCTCGTCCGGCAGCCCGCCCCTTCAACGGGCTTGCATCTGGGCTGGAGAGCTGGCTGTGCGCGCGGGAGGGCTCTTTCCTGCAGGTGTGAGTAGCGTGCAGTGCCATTGTGTCTGTGAAGAGGATGAGAGGCGATGGTCTGAACCCTGGGTATGCGTGAGCTGCGGCATCATGCACCACACTGTGGGTCCCTGGCCCGGGGTGTGGAGTAAGTGTCCCTGCCACGGTGCAGCGGACCCCACTGGGGACTGGACCTGCCGTTGGAGTCACACCGGCACTCTCCATCCTCCCCCACCTCGGCATAAGCGCCCCCTTCTGGACACCCTACTTTGTGCCAGGTGGCTGGCCTGCGTGCGCGCTTACAGCTCGACTGTGCAGTTAGTGCAGCCTGAGGGCCTGAGTCGGGAGCCTAGGGGAGGGCTGAGACCTTCCTGCGGCCTTCACGGAGGAGGTGGCGTGGGAGTGCGGTTCCCAGACTCAGGCTTCCCGCTGAAGCCCCTGGGCCACAGCGGGTCATCCTCCCACCCCCAGGAATGTTCTACACTCCAGCCCGCCTTCCTTAGGGCAGGCCCCTAGGGGCCACCACAACCCCACAGCTCCGCCTCCCCTCCCCGGCTGCCCGGGAGGGGGTGATGCGGGCAGGACGCCTGGGTTCCTCCCCCCTCCCATCCCCGGGAGAAATTCCTCCGAGGTCCCCTCAGGCTCTGGGTTCCCAAAATAACCGTGCGGGGGAAGGGAGGCTGCGAAGGGAGGGAAGCAGGAGGGGCGCAGAGCCGAACAGTGGGGTGCTGCAGGTGTCTCTGGGGAGAGGACGTGAGAACAGGGCCTCCGGGGGCACCAACCGGTCCTCAGAGTTCCGGCTCGTCCCTGTCCCCGGGGAGCCTCTCGGTGCGACTCCGAGGGTGGGCCGGAAGCCTCTGGGCAGGCCGGGTTTCCCAACTGGGGGGTTGCACCATCCCGGACCAAACGGTTTAACCCCGAGAGGCCGCGGCCGACGACTCCGCCCCTGCCCGGCAGGGGGCGTGCCCTCCACGCCCGGTTCGCAACTGCCAGGGCGCACCCGGACCGAGCGCCTCCACCCGCTCCTGTTCTGTCTCTCCCGGACAGGGGTCCGGTTCGAGCCCCGCGGGAGGCTCTCGGAGTGCTGCTTGGCCCAGCCTACCCGCGTCGCCATGGCGGGCACCCTAGATTTGGACAAGGGCTGCACGGTGGAGGAGCTGCTTCGTGGCTGCATCGAAGCATTCGGTGAGTGGCATGGGAGGACACACGCAGTCCGAGCCCGGCCTGGAGGCTGATCCCGCGCCCCTGCCTCCCAGGACGGACCCCTGGCCGGGCCCATCCAGGTCCTCATCCTGCACCCTCTCGGGAAAGCCTGCTCTTTCACGGGGTAGGAGGGTCCGCAAGCTTCAGAAAAGCAAGACGTTTCCCTTCCCTGGTAGGTCGGGAGGGACAGGGTCCCCAGACTCTGGCACATGAGGAGCACTATCTGTCTTGGCCGGGGATCCGGAGGAACTCTCTATCTCCGGCCTGGGAGCTGTTTCCGGCGGATGGGGGGCAGCTTATCTGGTGGAGGGGGTGCCCCTTCCCCCAAGCACTCAGGAAATGACCTCTGGATTCTTGACCCCGGGAAACCCAGGCTCCTTCCGCCCAGCTGGTTCCCCTCCGGATGATGAGCCCTGCTCTCCTCCTCCAGTTTTTGGGATCCTGCTTTCCCTCTGTCCCACCCCACCCTTTCCCTCCACTCTGCCGCCTGGTCCTACGAAAGCAGGAGGGTTGGGGGCAGATACCCCTCTAGCTGCAGGGGAGGTTTAGGGACACGTCCGCAGGACCAGTGGGCAACTGGCTTCTCCTTGACCCCTCGGAGTTAGATGACTCCGGGAAAGTGCGGGACCCTCAGCTGGTGCGCATGTTCCTCATGATGCACCCCTGGTACATCCCTTCCTCTCAGCTGGCAGCGAAACTGCTCCACATATATCCTTCGTGGGCCTCGCCCAGGGCCCGGTGCCCGAGTCCGGGAGCGATCCCGCCGCCCGGCCCAGGCGGAGATGGGCGCTCCTAAGGCCTGGGGCCCTCCCGCGTCGCAGCACCCAGCCCCCGCCTGACTCCCACTGGCGCTGGCCCCACCCCGGCCCTCGCGGCGCGCCCCGCCCCGACGCCTCCCGCCCTAGGCCTCGCTCTCCTCCCTGGAAGCTGGGACCCGGCCCTCCACTCTCCTCCGGGCCAGCCTCGTGCCTCTCTCCCAGGACACAGCCCCGCCCGCAGCCTCCCCAGGAACCTAGCCCCTTCCCACCCAAGCCCTCGCCCAAAGCCAGCCCGGACCCGGCCTTGGGCCCCGCCCCGCCCCGCGTCGCTCCTGGACACAGGCCCCGCCCCCAGCCTCCCTCCTCGCGCCTCCCTTTGGAGAATTAGACCCCGTCCGGTTTTCCTTAACACTCCTTCACCTACCAGCAATCCCGGAAGGACCACTCCAGTTCGCTGCAGGTGAAAACATGCCACCTGGTCAGGTGAGTCTCCGGGGGGCTCCGACCCCTTCTCGCCCCCCTCATCTCAGGCTTCAGACTCTGCTGAGAGTGGGAAGAGCAGGTTGTGGGAGTCGCGGGGGTGCTGCCAGAGGCTGGCACCTGCCTGGGATCTTTGATTTGCCCCTTGGGGGTGGGGAAGGAAAGAACCCGAACCCCAAGCCCCGCGACCTCGAGACTCTTCTCCCTCCCACTTTTGGGGAGCCAGAGTCCCAGGGGTGTGGGGAGGGCTGCCGTGGGTGACTGCCGGCTCCCACCCAGGTACTGGATCTCGGCGTTCCCAGCCGAGTTTGACTTGAACCCAGAGCTGGCGGAGCAGATCAAGGAACTGAAGGCGCTGCTGGACCAGGAAGGGAGCCGGCGGCACAGCAGCCTCATCGACATCGAGAGCGTGTGCGTGGGGGCCGGGGCCGGGGCGCTCAGCACCCCACAGCCTGCGCTTAATAAATGTTGACTGAATCGAAAGAGTGAGGGTCATGTCACTCTCTTGCTTAAACACCTCCTGTGACTCCCTGTCGCCTTCAAAATGCCTCTATTGGGGACCCATGCCTTCAAGTCTCGGCCCCTGCCCGCCAGCGCCATCCTCCCCGGCCACGCCTCCCACCCCACCGCCGGCCCCCGCGCCCTCCCGGGCCCTGCAGCTTTCCGCCCCAGCGCTCCGCTCACACCGTGGGGCTTGTCCCTCTGCGTGTTGTCAGGACAGCTCAGTGTGGGGTGTCCGTGGGCTCAGGAATTTCCGGGGCAGGTCTTTGCCCTGCTTGTTCGCTCACTTGGTCCAGGGCCCCGGCTCGGAGCCCTCCTCGGCAGCACTGCCCTGGCCGGTCCGCTTCTGTGGCTGTAGACTGAGGCCTCCAGGGCCGTCTTGTCCCCTCGGGCGCCTGGCACTGCGCCTGAGTGTGTGTGAGGCCGGATGGGGGCACAGGCCCCCGCTGGAGTCTGTGCCGGCCAGCGGGCTGCAGGGATGAGGGAGGGGCGTCCCCAGCCAGGGGCTCACTACCCCTGCCCCCCCAGCCCCACCTACAAGTGGAAGCGGCAGGTGACGCAGCGGAACCCCATGGAACAGAAAAAGCGCAAGATGTCCCTGTTGTTTGACCACCTGGAGCCCATGGAGCTGGCGGAGCACCTCACCTTCCTGGAGTACCGGTCCTTCTGCAAGATTCTGGTGCGGCTGGAGGGCCTGGGCTGGAGGGCCTGGGC